TTACATGCACATGTGTATGACTTTAAAATTGGACAAATAATAGTGCTAATTTTCACCTATTTAAAGTTTATTGTGTTTCTCACGGAGCAGTATGTAGAGAGGTTTTTATATGAACAACATCTTTGTATCTGGGTATAGAATATAAATAGATATATGAAATAGACATGAACCTAATCCAGTTTAGCCCTCAGCTACTCTGAATTGATCAACATTAGCCAGACTCAAGTAAGCTCGAAAGCCATTAAATTGGATTTCTATGCTGTATACCACATTTTTCAGTTCTAATCGTTTTGGTCAGCAGCATAGCTTAATGATGCAGCTCAGATCAATCCGTGTCACAGATAGACATGATTTGATCAATATAGCTTCCACTTTAACTTAACCCTTTTACAGCTATCTGGTGGAGAAAAGGTAATTAATTTGAAATGGTCCAATTTTTCTAGCTTATGAGAATTTACATTGTGTCTCTCTCTGCATTTGGTATCTAATCTGATCTCCCTGTCATGCCAGCAGTGCTGAAATTCACGTGAAAAATTGCAAATCTGTATCATAAATTATATTTTCCAGGCTTCTTTTCCCGCTTTACTTGTCCTCTGCTTACCAAGCCACCTTTTTTAATAGTGTGGACCTATGGCTCAAATTTTCTTATTTCCTTTTTTTTAAATGGAAGTGGCGAAGGAACATAACGTTCCTGAAATATCACTTGCTTTGTGCCCCTCATTGTGAATCAGTGTCCCTCTGATTCCACTGAACACTCCCAGGAGTCCGTAATCTGAAGTTCAGAAAGAAAATATCCAGACTTCACCAGTTCTGACCTTGACTGAACTGCGAGGTTAAAAACTTAACAGGAATCATACTGATTCCTATGACAGTGTGCTTTTTGTAAACACTGCCAGCTAGTAACTTGTAACTTAGGCATCAGAGCTTTTGCACAGTGCTTAGGGAGAGCTGGGCCCGGAATATCTGTCAGTCACTTGGGTTGTAGCTCCCTCGTTCCTCCACATGGGCAAGACTGAGCAGAGGAGAGCCTGCCCCATGCTGTAGCTAAGTCTGTACTTGAGCATGTGCTTGAGCATTAGTTACAGGGAGATCCTGACTTTGGTAACCAGGTTTGAGCCAGGACATCACTGTGAATACAGACATATGCTTTGATCTCCAATGCCCTGTGACATGGTTTCTTTCACCTTTGCCAAAGAGAGGTTCTTTCTGTCTTCATGTTGGGACCCAGAACTTACCTGTACTCCCCAGGAGATACTGTATTCCCCTGCTCCCGGTGGTCAGACATGTATCCTGGGCTGCATCAAAAGATGTATGGCTAGCAGGTCACGGGAGGTGATTCTGTCCCTCTACTCTGGTAAGACTTCACCTGGAGCACTGCATCAGGAAAGACATGGTTCTATGTACATAAATGCATACACAGTGAGGCTGCCTGCAGATTTCACTAGTTTTGGCTGTGCTCCCTTCCTGTATCCTCAGTTCCCCAGTTGCATCATTCAAAACATCTCTTCTTTCTCTAGGAAAATCTGAACTTGGCCCTGAACTCTGCTTCAGCCATTGGGTGCCATGTTGTTAACATTGGAGCTGAAGACTTAAAAGAAGGGAAACCTTACCTGGTTCTGGGTCTTTTATGGCAAGTCATCAAAATTGGACTCTTTGCTGACATAGAGATCAGCAGGAATGAAGGTATGTATGGCTCTTGATTTCAGTTCTCTACTGTTATCACTGAACAGTCTTTAGGGTAAAGGTCTTTTAAAAAAAAATCAATTTTTCTTCAAGTATATGTTACCTGTTTTCTTGACTGCTCTACTTTTCCTTGCTTTTCACAAGTTCCAGCAGTCAAAAGTCCAAGGCTGTCTGTAGACTTATATGATCAGAGCCATTTCAGTCTCATTGGATCAGGAATAATGGTCTACCCTCAAGTATTGGTGTTTTGGCATTAAATCTGGGATAAGGAAGTCTGCATTCAGAAAGCTTTGCTCTTTCTTGCTTAATTGCCAATCATCTCCTCTTTCTTTGTGAAATCAGAATTATAGAATTACAGAATAATTTAGGCTGGAAGGAACCTCTGGAGGTCCTCTGATTCAACCACCGAGCTACCTGCTTACAGCAGTACAGGTAGATGAGGTTGCTCAGGACCTTCTCCAGTATTCTTTGGGCAGCCTATTCCAGAGCCCAACCACTCTTGCTCTGAATTTTTTTTCTTATACCTAGTTGGAATTTCCCTTCCTGCACCTTGTGTCCGAACCTTCTCATGCTTTTGCTTTGCATACTGGGCAAATGCAGACCTGGTTCCTCTGTAATGGTTGAAGACAGTACCTGTTCCCCTCTCAAACCTCTTTCCAAGCTAAATAAACACAGTTTTTTCATTCTTTTCCCATATATCATATACTCCGATCCAACCAGCTTGGTCTCCCTCCACTAATTTGCCTCAGTTTGTCAATGTCTCTGTCATATTGGGGAGCCACAAACTGGCACTCCAGTTGTATCTACCAATGCCAAAATTCTCAATGAAGTAGCTGCAGGGTGAGGGTGTGGGTGCGTACATGCAGTTCACATGGCACCTCATCTTGCTGCCTTGTTCCCCATGCCTCTGGATAGTCTGCTCAACCAACAGTGACACTTCTTTCCTCTAGTTTCCATGCAGGTGTGACCTCCATTGCCTCACCCCTTTCACATTTCTATACCTTTTATTGCCAGAGCCACCAGTTCCCAGAGTTTCCAGTTTCCATTCCTTTGTAGGTAGCCTTGCCTTGCTTAATTGCTATTTTGACTTTCTGATATTTTCTCCTTCACTTCTCATCTAAAACTTCAGTTTGTCAGGGTAGACAAGCCAAGATAATTTTGATTTCTTTTCAGGTTCTATCTTTCCCTGATAGCCCTTCTCTACAGCTGTTCCAGGTAAAATTCCCCTTTCTTGAACATGGGATACTGTATTTCCAATGAACTTTCCCAAGCATATGATATCAAGACAGTAGTACATCCCAACCTCTATGGGAATTACTTGGGATGCACTCAATATCATGTTTGTTTTTCCTATGGTCATATCAAATGGTGGCTCAGAGTAGCTCAGAAGATATCTAATACACTCATGTTGTTCTCATCCTCTGTTCATATAAGCTTTTAGCTAATAGCAGTTATTCATATCAATTCCCTAGTATGTGTCTTTGAACATGGCACTATTAAATTACATTCCATTTTTATTACTGTCATCTAGTTCACTCTGTCTGATTTCCTGATCGTCCTCTGTATTGACTATGCCACCTAGTGAATATCATCTTCACATTTTTAGCACATTGCTAGTATTTGTACCAAGATGATTGTGGTAGACTGGTGGCCTAGTGGTTAGGATGCGGCACTCTCACCGCAGCGACCCAGGTTCGATTCCCGGTCCCCCGGGCAGATGGAGCCCGTTAGCCCTGTGTGGCCATCCATCTATGAGAAGGTCACTCTAAACAAACCTACGTCCTGAGGACCTCACTGCCATTGTCCAAGCTTGCTTGGCCCCGGCAGATGAACCTTAGGATTAAAGGGTGGGCTCAGTTCAGCGCATGCTGTGTCTCACCTAAAAAATCCATTGCGCAGGCTTGAAAGGTAAAAGACCTTTCCCAAAATCTTCGTTTGCGAAGACTGGCCATACAGACCAAGATGATTGATGCAAAAAAAAAAAAAAGAAAACATTAATCCAAAAATCAATCCATGATCAACTCCACAAGAATCCTTCTTCCAGCCTACAGTTAACACTGTTTTCTTCGTAAAATCTTCTGTCTAGTTTCAAATGCTTCTATTATCCCCCTCTGGTCCAGTTTAACCCCATTGCACCCTATATCAAATTATCTATGGAACTCCAGATATAGTATGTCTCCACTGTTTCCTTTATGTAGCAAATCCATATTTCTTTCAAGGATTGACAAAAGATATTGGAAGAAGATCAGAGTAGTGTGACACGCTCTCCCCTTTTATCACATTAATAACTAGTTTTCGGGTTATTCGTTCTTCTTTTCAAAACTTGTTCTAAAGCCTTTCACGCTCCAGAGATCAGCTGAACATACTGCAGTTGCAAGAGTCAGTCCTTCCCTCCTATCTGTTTCTCCTTTTATGAACATGAATACGATATTAATTTTTCTATAAAATAGGGTATCTTCTCCAATTGACAGATGAGTTAACCCTACTGGCCCGCAAACCCATGAAGTCATGTGCAAGTACTCCAGAATACCTGTGTGAATCCAGTTTCAGTGTGAAGGTCACTGAGATTTCTTTAATCTAAGCTGCAGAAAGTCTATGTTCATATTTTCATTTCAATCTTGCCCCTATGTTCAGCATCACTGAGTCCAGCTCTGGACTTCTCAGCTCAGGAAAGACTTGGACCTGCTGGAGCAGGTCCAGAGAAGTGCCACAGAAAGGCTCAGAGTGCTGGAACACTTCTATGAAGGCACACTGGGAAAGTTGGGATTTTTCAGCCTGGAGAAGAAAAGGCTCCAGGGAGACCTTATAGCAGTACCCAAAGGGGCTTATAAGAAAGATGGGGACAAATGTTTTAGCAGGACCTATTGTGATACACAAGGGATAGTGGTTTTAAACAAAAGAGGGTAGATTTAGACTAGCTATAAGGAAGACATTTTTTGTGATAAAGGTGGTCAGACACTGGCCTAGGTTGCCCAAAGAGGTGGTAGATGCCCCATCCCTCAAAACATTCAAGGTCAGGTCATATAGGGCTTTGAGCAAACTGATTTAGTTGAAGATTTCCCTTCTCATGGGTAGTTCTTAGACCACACTGAAATTGTCTTCCACTTCTACATGACCCACTACTAGATACTACTAGATAACAGCCTTTTTCTCATTTTATTGATGAGACCCTTTTCCTGTTTATGTCCTCTCTCATGCTAACCCACCTTGAATTTTGGCAACACTTTGGCCACTCACCTTTAGAGAGAAAACAGCCATACATTCTCCTCAGAAAGTATTCACATTATTATTTTTTTCTTGGTTTTGTTTTTTTTTTCCCCACCCCTGCTTAGCCTTAATTGCTCTTCTGAGAGAAGGAGAGAGCCTGGAGGATCTGATGAAGTTGTCTCCAGAGGACCTGCTGCTGAGGTGGGCAAACTATCATCTGGAAAATGCAGGATGCAACAAAGTCAACAACTTCAGCTCAGACATCAAGGTATGAGAAACACTGACCAACAACAGCAAAACAGCAGCTCCCACCCAAATTTCTGTCTTCCACACAAGGACTGAACACTGAAACAATCCAAGCAGCTGAGACTGCTTTATTGAAGACATGGAGCTGGGTGCATAGAATGTTTTTAGTGGGGTTTACCTTTCCACTCAGTAATATTCCTCCTCGTCCCAACCTCCCAGTCATCACTGTCAGCCCCAGCACATCAAATGCCTGGGAAAGGAATGGCTGCTGGCTCTAGACAGGGCATATGGACTCTACCCCTGTATTTTCAGTTTCTTGCCTCTATTGCTCTCCTCCTTCCTAAATTTCCTTAAGTGACTCTTGACCTGACTTGGGTTTGGAAAAGCCTGAACCTTACTCAAACATGTAACTAGATGTAGAGGAAGGGGATGGGGCTCTTCCAGTTCCCCCACTTGGTCTTTCCTTCAGTACAGCATCTGGGTTACACGCTCCTCTGCCCCAACCTTTGCTGTAGCCCTGAATGCATGTAATCTACTTTATATTTTGAAGAACATTAGTTGAGTTAGTTAGTCAAGTCCCTAGCCATTAACATGTAGCTTTATTTTCAGTTCTTTGAGCTATTCTTGAAGTGAGTTAATATTTTCCACATATGGAAGCAATGTTATACTTCACAGAAGATTAAAGACACAACATGTTAAATTCTTGTCTTGTTCCTGCCCTTTTTCCTGAAACATGCTGATACTGTTGTTAGTTTTAACTTTTGTCCTTGAAAACTATGCTTTCTCTTCCATAACTGTTCAAGCATTGCTTAGAAATCCTCTTTAAACATCTGCTTTCTCCTTCTGCATTTTCTTCTCTTAAATGCTCAGCAGCCTGACTTCTACAACATTATAAAGGTATGCATTTTCTTATCTCTAATTTTATGCTCAGATTAAGTAAATTCTAATATCTCTTTGTTGTTGCTGTCCTTTTTGTAAGTGCAGCACACAGGATTTTGTATCTTGTGTTGAACATTCTGCAGCACATTGGCTTAGGGAAGAAATAGATCTGGCAAACACAGCATAAAGTAGGAATTGCTAAGTGCTTCCAGCTTAATTAATTTAATTATATAGCCCAGTGATCGATGTAATAAAAATGAAGCATGCAGGCACATTGTTCAGGGAAGTACTGGCATGCAGTGGCTGAGCTTTAGATGTAATTTTTCTTCCCTTTAATTTCTCTCTCTGTCACAGGACTCAAGAGCTTATTACCATTTGCTGAACCAAGTTGCCCCCAAGGGAGATGAAGAAGGCATTCCAGCTATTACTATTGACATGTCAGGATTAAGGGTAAGATGAGATAAGTTTAGAGTAAATGCCGATATTTTCTGTCTGTTATTTGCATTGCTGGTCAACACAGGGTTGCACCAGGATGTTGGAACAAGCAAATCCTTTTTAGCATTGCAAGATGATCTTGTATTTCAGAAATCAAAGCTTTCAAAAAATTAAATTATGTGGTTTGACTTTTGTTAGATATTATCTCTAAATAATATCTAAACTTTAGCCACACTGATAAACTACTAGCATTTAACAAGTGTATTTAAGTAAATTTATTTGAGAATTTCATAAAACCATCACATTTTGTATGGAATATGACTTAAAAGCAATATGGTGAGATGGTTGAATTATAGACAAAGCCCATTTGAAAACACAGACTTGCCATTAGTAGAAGTGGGAAAGGGAATAGCTATAAATCCATCAAGGACCTGCTTTAACAGTTCCACACCCAGATCCACACATGGAAATCCCAGGTGGGTCTTGCATGCAGTGCCAGGCAGTGAGGTGAGGCTGATGCCCTGTTTTGTGTCAGCACAGGAGAAGGACGATGTCCAGCGAGCGGAGTGCATGCTGCAGCAGGCGGAGCGCCTGGGCTGCCGGCAGTTTGTCACCGCCACTGATGTCGTCCGGGGGAACCCCAAGCTAAATCTAGCCTTCATCGCCAACTTGTTCAACAAATACCCTGCCCTGCATAAGCCAGAGAACCAGGACATCGACTGGAGCTCCATTGAAGGTCAGGAAAATGCAAATAAAAGATGCTTCTGGCCACCCGTGCCACAGTATCCCCATCTTTGAGTTGATGATACATCAACCTAATCTTATGTCCTTCAGACATATATTTGCTGCCCTGTTAGCACAGGCAGCCTTTGGAAACAGAGGCTGTCCTTTACCTGCTTGTAGCTTCTCGTAATCTGGGGCTCTGTTCTGTGGATAACACGTGCTTAAAGACAAAAAGGTTTGTGGGATGTCTGAACCAGTACGGACTATTGAGCATGCTTTTAGCTGAAATTAGAGTTGATTTGGCATTCTCTTATTTGAGGATATAAATTAAAAATCAAATCTTGCATAAACCTGCTGCCTGCTTGCTCTGGACTGGGGTCAGGAGCATCATTGTATGGATCATTTGCTGAGCTTCAAGTCCTTCTTTCTCAGCCTCACAGTGAAACTGTTCATGCTGGGGCAGAGGCAGAGGCAGAGGCTTGATTTCTTGAAGGCATTTAAAGGCCAATCTGGCAAAATACTATAATATATAGGCCATGAAGAAATATTGCATGGTGTACCATGCTTTCTTATTTCACATGTCAGCCAGTGTCTCCTTTTGTTATTTCAGCACACTGTAAATTCAGAGTTAGTGTTTCTTCATGAGACACTTATTTTACTGGGCTGTTTTGTTTTGCAGGCTTGATGATTGATGTATCTGTTGTTTTAGGTGAGACAAGGGAAGAGAGGACATTCAGAAACTGGATGAACTCCCTGGGTGTTAATCCACGTGTAAATCACTTATATAGGTAAGACAAGGTATTACACTTTCTTCAGATGATAAACACAGCCAGAAATTTCTTACAAAATATATATACAGAATATATGCTGCTTTTTGTTTTTTTAGGAAACTAAGTTTACCGCTACTAAGTTTAGTTGTGTTTCCTTTCTCTGTTCTTTAGACAATAATGTTTCTTTTTTTGTTGTTGCTTTCAGTGACCTGTCAGATGCCTTGGTTATCTTCCAGCTCTATGAAAAGATCAAAGTGCCAGTAGACTGGAACAGAGTGAACAAACCACCATATCCTAAATTGGGTGGCAACATGAAGAAGGTAAAAAAAAGGAATAGATCCAGTAGTGATGCCTTGTGCTCAGAGAATGTCTATAGTTTCAAACAACAGTGTGGGTATTCATGTTGCTCTCCAGCGTCAACTACAGCACATTAAATGATTTTTTTGTCTAGTTAGTGATTAATTTTTCATCCTGAAAAATAAACATACATTCGACTCGCTCTGTTGACAGGTGAAAAATATTTGTAAAGTAAAAAGATTTGACAACTTCTGCATAATACTTTAAAATCTGTATTTGCAGACCACTTTTGCTACTGTTTTAAGCACCAATTATAATGCATCTGCACCAAGAGACACATAGCACCAGCTTAATTGCAGCTGTCTGGATCACTGCCCTCCATATCAAATGAAGACAGTGATGATAAGCATTCTTGACCAAATGCATCAAGAACCAATCACACAGTTGCTGCTAAATGCAAAGATTTTTTGCAACTATCTGGATGAATAATTTCATCCAGTTAGACCAGAGCAATCTACTGACCTAAAATATCAACTGGGACACTAACCCTTTGTCTCGGTGCAATGCCATGATGCTGGAGGTACCCATGAGCCAAAAATTTTTATTTTCTGAGATAGTCTACTTTTCAGGCCCTGGTGACAAAGAATAACATTTCCATCAATGTTAACTGTTTACCATGGTATTTTTGGGGTGGAACTGCCTGCTAGTAGTCAAGCAGCTGTATTATCACAGAGCCCCAAAGTTTCTGTTTGCCCAGGAAGATCTAGGCTGAGCAATCCAAGGAATTTAAAGTAACAATGTCTTGTCTTCTTTTTTTTTTCCTATGTTTTTGAACCACACCAATTGACTGTGCCATCAACAGCTTGAAAACTGCAACTATGCAGTGGAACTGGGAAAGAATCAAGCCAAATTTTCCCTCGTTGGCATTGCTGGGCAAGATCTCAATGAAGGAAACCGTACACTCACCCTGGCCTTAATCTGGCAGTTGATGAGAAGGTATGTCAGTCAGCCACAAACTTCAGAGCATTTTGGTATACTCAGTTTGCATTGTAATAGTTTCCTGATGCTATCACTGAGAAGGCTCAATAGGCTACATCTTTCTCACTCCTCTGTTTGCACTTGAATACAAAGGCAGAATTCCTAGCTAGGATTGCATCCTAGTTAGGCATACAATCAGAAAGCATGGTCTTGTGGGCAAGGCCATTACAGTCAGCACATGCAGAAGATTATTATTGTCACTACCTGTATAACATGAATAAATGTTCATTGCATGGAAGAGAGGAAAAGAAGTTGAAAGGTCTCAATATCAGGGAATGGGGAGAATGTACTGGAAACAAGGAAATTATGCAGAAGTTGTGTAACTTGCTATCTGAAGCGGGTACAACTCAGTAGCTCTCCTCATTTTAATGGAAATCTCTATGTGTGTATGTTTGTGTGTTTAAGAGCTCCGTAACTGCTGTAAAGAGACTCAGGAACTGAATACAGACTAAATTCACACTATAGAGAAAGGTACAGGTTTATCAGGCAGGTACTTAAACTAGAGATGTTGTGATTATTTACCATCAAATTGGGATGTCTTTCCAAGGTGTATGCTCACATATAAGAAAAATATTCCAGGCTCGTTTTTATGCAGAAGGTGAGCAGAATGATTCCCTTTTGTTCCTGAAGTCAGTGATTATTTTTTAAGCACTATGAGAATGAGTCATTTACACTGAGATCCATTAAGAGGGACCTTCTAGGAATTTTGAGTACCGTAAATTTTTAACACTCCCAAAACAATGATTAAGGAATTGGGGATGAATTAGACTTATTAGATTAATTATTGTGTTATAATATAAATCATATGCACTGCGAGTGTGTTGGAGGC